TTTTACTGACAATTAAGAGTCAAAATGATAAGTTTGATCGGTGAGTATTGGTTGGAATGATATTAACTGTAAATATACAAAAGTTGAAAAGTTTATTACAGCATCTTTTTTTTTGGTTTTATTGTAGAAAATTTATTAACTTTAAAAAGTAACTAAATTTTTTAATATGTAAATAAACAACTTTTTTTTTTTGTCGTTAACAGTTTAATGTAAATATATTTTTAAACAATTTGTTATCAGTTACTTAAAAGGTAAAAATTAATTTAAGATTAAAACTAATTTGAGATAAATTAAGTCTTAATAATACGTTTATAAATTGAATGTATTTTTTGTTTTTTGCTTATCTATTATCAATTTTTGCAGTTGCTAACAAAATGTTCTCAATGTATACGTTTGATATATTAAAGACAAAAATTTTTTGATATAATTTTTGTAATAGCTAAAGTGTGATGAAAAAGTTTAGAAATTTACAGCAGTTTTTTTTTACAAATCGTTACAAATCGACAAATATATTCCGTTTTCAAAGCAACGTTAGGAATAATTTTAAACTGAGAAAAAAGATGTTTTTTTGTAAGGCATTTATATGAAAGGTTGAACTCTTCTTCAGAAATGAAAACTGTGATAAAATTCCAAAATTTAGCATTCATTTCCGTTATGTCGTCACACCAACAGTGCTTTTTTTTTTTGTTTGCACATTTATAGCAACATAATTTTCAATAAAAAAAAAAATTTCCCTGTTCTGAAAAACTACAAATTAATGAAAATTAAGCAGTCTTATTTAATTAAGCAGAATAATTTATTCAATTATTACTCACAAAAAGTTTAACATATGTTCAATAAAAGTTTCCAAGTCTTATGATAGAATTTTTTTGTTATTTGCACAAAAAAAAAACACCACTAAACTGTAAGAATAAATTCGTAAAATTTTTCTGCTTTAGCATAGTTTATTTCGGTCAGATAAATCAACAAATTTTACTTTTGCTTTTGCCAAAACATTTCGCATTGACTGTACGATTTTTTGATTTTTTTTTTTTTTGGAATAAATATTCCTGTTGCTTTAGATTATTTACTACAATGTAAAGTATAGTTGTTACTCTGTAGTAAGTGTATCAATGTATGGTATATAACCTTTCAGTTTATGTTGAATTTAGATTTACTGTTGATGACACTGAGACTGTTGGTTTTAGTTTTGGAAAAAATAGATATAAAAAGACAATTAAGAATATAAAAGTAGAATATGCTTTAATTGGCTTTTATACTTAAAATTATGAATTACAAGCAAAAATACATTTGTAGCTATAATGTTATTCACAGTGAATAATCGTACTATATTTACCGATTACCTACTGTAACAAAAAGAGAAGATAGATGATAAAATGCTGTAACTGTATTTAACAGCAACTGATTAACGGCTACTTCAGATGGCACAATTAGTTGCTTCCCTACTCATTTTCACTTTTATTCCAAGTGTATTCACTGATGTGGAAAGTAGTGTTGGACGAATTCAAAGCGCTGGCGTCAAAGGAACCTTACTTTGCAAGGGAGTTCCTGCTCCAAATATTCTTGTAAAGTTATATGACGATGATAGGGGTGAGAAAATTTCACGATTATCCGCTTGTCTAGATCAGTCTGTGCAACAATAAAATATCGAAGTGAAGGAATGAAGCCCGAGGAAACGTCCAAAATTCTGTACAACATTTTTTCATTCACTCTTAATCGTCATATTGTGAATGTTATTTTAGCACAAAGTATAAATGGTTTTTAACAATTAAATGTAAAGAAAAAAAGCAGGAACAAATGTATAAAATATAGTTAATTTAATTGTTGCTACTATTTGTACAGGTTTGGATACTGATGATCTGATGGCATATGGTAAAACCAACGCTGAAGGATACTTTGAAATCAGCGGTTGGGATGCGGAATTTGCTGCTATTGATCCAAAACTAAGTATCTATCACGACTGTGAGGATGGACTAAAAGTATTTTGACATTTTTGCAATTAAAATGTTTTTTTTTTGTAAAATTAAATTTTTTTAATGGTATATTTTGCAAACAACAAAATATAGCTTACAAGAAGTAAATAGTTGAGAATGACAAAAAAAGGAACACTAATGGTATATATACTGCAGTAAGCGCAGTACATTTGTAATACCAAAAAATATTCTTCAGCCATGTCAACGAAAAATAAGCATAATGATACCGGATGGATATATTTCTGCTGGAAAAGTGGCAAAAAAGTTCTACGATGCAGGAAGTATTGAACTTGCTGAAAAGTGGGCTGGTGAAACACGAGACTGCATTCACTAAGTTGACTCTTAAACTGCTGCATTACCTGCTCTCAGTTTTTTTTTCTTTTTTTTTT